ACTTCGAATGTCGACGCTTTCACCGTTAGTGTGGACTCACAAAGTCGAATTACTGTCCTTAGTGTGGACACACACGTTCGACTTTGCAATATCGATTCCAAAAATTCGATGCAAGTAAAATCGAACTACTCTCGTAGTGTAGACAAGGCCATAGATTCCTGGAGCAGAACTTAAAGGAAACCATGCAACCTTGATTTCAAAATTGCCAGTGATGGAGAATTCATCACAACACTTGGGAAATTGTTCTACTGGTTAACTACCCTCCCTGTTGAAAATATACACTATATTTCCAGTCTCAATTTGTCTAGCTTCAACTTCCACCCACTGGATTGTATTATGCCTTTCTCTGCTAAATTGAACAGTCTGTTATCAAATATTTGTTTCCCATGTAGGTACTTATAGACTAATTAGCCATCTCTGTGGTAAGGTAAATAAGTTCAGCACTTGAGGATATCACTATAACGCATGTTTCTAATCCATTAGTCATTCTCGTGGCTCTTCTTTGAACCCTCTCCAATTTATCCACATCCTTCTTGAAAGTTGAAACTGGTCACAGGATTCCAGCAGTGGTCGCACTAGTGCCAAATACTGTACAGAGATAAAATCACCTCTCTGCTCCTACTCCAGATTCCCCTGTTTATGCATCCAAGGATCACATTAACCCTTTGGGCCACAGCATCACATTGGAAGGTCATGTTCAGCTGATTATCCAGCACTGCCCCAAACCCTTTTTCAGAGTCACCCATCCTGTAAGTATGGTCGACGGTCTTTGTTCCCAGGTGTGTACATTTACATTTAGCCACATTGGAACACATATTGTTTGCTTGCGCCCAGCTTACCAAATTTATCAGTAATTTGTCCTCTTCGTTGTTTACCACTCCCCCAATGTTTGTGTTGTCTGCAGGCTTCATCACTGATGATTTTAGGTTTTCTTCCACATCCTTGATAAAAATGTGAAATATCATAGGACAAAAAAATGATCCTTACATGACCCCCTGGAAACTCCTCCGATCAATCATGGTTCCCCATTTACAATTATATTTTGAGACCTATCAGTAAGCCAGTTTTTAATCCATTTAATGCGTGCCATGTTAATTTTATATAATGTTCCAGTTTTTTAATCAAAATGTTGTGCAGTATCAAGTCAAACATCTTACAGAAATCTCAGTATAGTACATCAACACTATTACCTTTATCTATGAAACTTATAATCTCATCAAAAAAAGATATCAAATTAGTTTGACAGGATCTGTTTTCCATAAGCCCATGCTAATTGGTATTAATCATATGACTCTCTTCTAATTCTTTATTAACCAAGTCCCGTATCAACCACTCCATTATTGTGCCAGGGATCCATGTCAGACTGACAGGCCTCTAATTACCCAGGTCATCCCATTTAACATTTAAAGTATTAGCACAACATTAGCTTTCTCCCAGTTGTCTGGAACTTCCCCAGTGTTCAAGACTTACTGAGAATCACCACTAATGGTCCAATGAGCTCCTCAGCCAACCCTTTTAAAACTCTTGGATAT